ATCGGAACGGATCTCGGCCCACCCAAAGTAAGGAAAGGAGGTACGAATAAAGGGCCGGCCTTGGCGAATAGTCTCCGTTTTTGGAGATCCAGTTGCTTGGGTGCTTGGTAATTCCTCACGTCAACGGGCCCAACTTGTCCAAACCCCCCCCGGCGCTGAACATCCGTGGGCCCCTCCAAGGTCAATGACGCCCCTCCCACGTCCTGCTCGAGCTTCAGACTCTTTAAGGTCGATGGGGCCCTCTTCTTCGTCCGACCCTGCCATCCATTCCTCCAGTCCTCTGTGATATCGTCTTCTTACAAACATCAAGTACTTACCTTGTGTACACAAGAAAATAAACAGTCAACATGGCATCCAACCCTCCCGGACAATGCTGCACCGTCGGTGTCAAGCACGAGTAAGACACCCCAAGACCCCTTTGAGCGACACATATCCGTCCTGCGTAAAGAGCTACCCCGCCCCCCACTCTCCCAAAGCTTGATTGAGTGAATCCTGCCTGTACCTGTCACCGAGAAACCCGTTCCAAAGTCCCAAACATCAGCCTTATGGCATGTCTGTCGGCTGATATGATACGCCAATCTCTCGATTGCTCAACACAAGACTTCTCGCTAATCGCTTTCCGACCAATGTAGAGGCACCCCTCAGGGCAAGAAGATCACCGTCGCCGGCAAATATGAGGGCTACCTCGCCGAGGCTCCCGCCGACAAGGCACACAAGAACACCGGTCTTCTCTACGTTGCCGACGTCTTTGGCATCTGGAGCAACTCCCAGCTGCTTGCCGATCAGTTCGCTGCCAATGGTTACACCACCTTGATCGTTGACCTCTTCAACAAGGACCAGCTTTCTGTCCCCATGCCTGCTGGCTTTGACGTTATGAAGTGGATCGCCGAGGGCAGCGATGGCAAGAACCCCCATAACAAGGAGGCCATCGACCCCATCATTGTCGATTCCCTCAAGTACATGCAGACCGAGCTCGGTCTCACCAACATCGGTGCCCTCGGCTACTGCTTTGGCGCCAAGGTATGTTTTCTCCCCCAATCTCCCTCTTCTATAGCTTCTACGACCGCCGGTTTCTGACATGATCACTTGACAGTACGTTGTCCGCCACTACAAGGACGGCATCAAGGTCGGCTTCGTGGCCCACCCCAGCTTCGTCGACGAGGATGAGCTCGCCGCCATCACCGGCCCCTTCTCCATTGCCGCCGCCGAAACCGACAGCATCTTCCCCGCCGAGAAGCGTCACAAGTCCGAGGAGATTCTGCAAAAGACCGGCCTGGCATACCAGATCAACTTGTACTCTGGCGTCGAGCACGGCTTTGCTGTCCGCTGCGACGTGAGCAAGAAGGTTCAAAAGTATGCCAAGGAGCAAGCCTTTTACCAAGCTGTTGCTTGGTTCGATGAGCACCTTTTGTGACTAGCGGATAACCGTGGAGGAGAAGCCAAATTATGAATAATGGGCATGGGCGCCGCAGCTGATACCAGAACGATGGGCGGGTTTAAAAATACCAATTGATTATTGCGCGACATGATCTCGTTCCACACCTTGATATCTCGGTCTCCTGAATGCTCTGAAGCTCTTAAACAACGACCGCATCAAGCCCTCTCGGCCCAGTCTCGCTTGATGAAGTCGGCACATCGCTCTGCCACCATATAAGTCGGCGCTACAGTGTGAGCACTCGTCACCTTTGGGAAAACGCTTGCATCAGCAACGCGCAAGTTTCGGAACCCGTGGACCTTCAAATTCTGGCCGACTACACCATTATCGTCCACGGTACCCATGCGGCACGTTGAAGTTGCGTGGTAGATGTTGACCAAACGCTCCCTGATGTAAGCATCAATCTGTTCGTCCGTCACATCCCGCCACCCACCTTCGACTGTACCGGCCTTGACCCCGGGAGCGAGATGCCAGGTAGCGTTGAAGGGGTATTTTGTCTGACGGAAGCGCTCCACAAAGTTCATTGAGAAGCGAGCGGCCTTGCGCGCTGCCGCCCAGTCGCGGGGATCTGTGATGTAGTGGTGGAACACTTTGGGATGCGCCAGAGGATCTGAAGACGCGAGCTCAATTCTGCCCCTAGAGAATGGCTGCACTAGTGTTGTCTGGAATGCGCAGAACCCCTTGCCCTTCTCATAATCATACGAAGCATTGGTGAACAGGAGCTCAATATCAGGTACGTTCTCGGGCCTTAGCGCATCCGTGTTGTCGTGTTTCTCATCGATGCCATTTCCGTGGTGTCTCACGGTCATTGTGGTCTCATCAACGGTGCTTGTGTGAAACCAAGCACACAATCTGGTTCCAGAAGTCGCCAATAAGCCAGTTTTGAAGAAGAGAAAGAGGATGAAGTGCCAAATGCCAACGAGTGGACTGAACAATCGGAGATATGAATCGATGAGACGGGTACGGAAGGCGATGCCGAAAGTTATGTGATCTTGAAGGTCAGCACCAACTCCCGGCATATCTCGCACGAGCGGGATGTTGTGTTGTTCGAGATGTTTCTTTGGTCCTATACCGCTGCGAAGAGTCAGCGACGATCGAACGCGCTGGAGGGGTTTCAGGGAAATACAACCTCAACATCAGAAGCTGCGGTGAGAAGTGAGTTCCACAACAAACGATGACCTCTCTCTCAGCCTTCACGAAGCATTGCCTGGCAGGGCTCTTGTCAAGATGATCCAAAATGTGAACACCCGTCACTTCTGTCCCGTCGTCATTCGTCTGAAGCTTTGTGGCTACAACCCCAGTGCAGAGTGTGAGTCTCTCCCTTCGCTCATCAACCGTGGACTTTGGAAGGTAAGCTGCCAATGAAGAATGACGATAGCCAAACTTATCTATCATGATGTCGGTCGTGAAGAGGCCCATGGCCGGGGCGTTTGGGTTATTGCCGTCACTCTCGACAGGGAGGTTCATGTCGCCTGCGGCTTTTTGGATGCTGTTCGAGGCACAAGTTAGGTAGCAAGGACTTGGGGAATACGGTCACTACAACATACTATTGGTCTATCGGGAAGTTCAAGGGATTCTGTCGAAGGTAGAGCGGCCCTATCCAAAGTGAGCTCGATCTCGAGACGAAGAATTGGATGATACTGGTTACCTTCATGACCGCGGTAGGGAGCATCGGGGTGGCAAGCAGCGTTCTCAATCTTCTTGAAGTATGGCTCGCACTTATCCCAGCTCCATTCATCATTACCAAGCGCAGCCCATTGGTTGTAGTTACCCGGCGCGCCGCGCGTGAGCATCAGCCCGTTGACTCTGGTGGCGCCGCCGAGTGCTTGAGTATTGAAAGTTCGAGTCTTGCACCCCGTCCATTGCTCGTCGGGCTCAGACCAGAATGTCTCGATCTGAGGACCCTTGCCGTCGCTCGCAGTCCCAACGATAGGAATACGGTCAAGCCAATTGTCCTTTACCTTGCCTTTGCAAACGACGAGGACGCTGGTGCTTGGGTCTTCGCTCAGTCGGGAGGCGAGGGCGCATGCTGCTGTACCGCCTGCGTAATGTCAACTTGGGGGAACTTGGCCTCCTCGTCAACAACGACACCTACCGCCTACGATAACATAGTCAAAGGTTTTCCCGTCGACGTCAACCGCTTTGCGCTCCGGATAAGAACGAGAAAATAGCCAGGCCATGGTTACCGGACTGAGAGAAGCGTTATGAGACGATTCGAAAACCGAACTGGACTGTCCTGACGAGCAAGAGACCTCATTCCAACTATCTACTCCAGGCAGTCCCTTGGGGGGTGCTGTCAGATGAGGGGTTCTTTCTTATATGTTCGAAGGATCATCACTCGTCTTAAAGCTATAGACTAGTCTTACACCAAAGATCAATCGCAATCTACGGGAACGCCAGAAAGTGCGATCCCTCCAATCGCTGGCTGATCCTTCGCCGGCTAAGGCGACACAGGTACTTGTTTAAACCTTGGCTTCTGTTACCTGTTCACACTGCAGTCCCGGGAACTAATGTTGGGAGGAAGAACAAGATGATATCTAGAGGACAAGGACCTGAGACCTTGTCATCATGGGCGATATTTCTACGAAAACCTCTCTTCACTCATTTGCGGCCCCCAGTGTACCTCGGATCAGTGGCATCTCAACATCAGCTCACCGCCAGCAATACTTTTCATGCTAACCGACTTTGCATGCTGTAGCACACCAATGTCGACCAACTATCATAAGAGAAAGACCAATACCGGTCGGCAGGCCGCAGGAACGGCCAAGAATGCGTGCGATTCGAACGATGCATGTTCAACAGCATCAATGGTGCCCCACTGCCTCCACTACCTACTTTACTGCGTATGGCTTGTCACTAACAATAAGACACTCAAGTAAGGTAACTTAAGGTAAGGATGAGTTCGGATAAACGGGTGTTACGAGAATTAGATGGAAGCTTCTATTGACTTTGAATTGGCTTGTCAAGGTATTTGATCAAGGTACTTTACTGGGCATTGGCGGGGAAGAGGGAAAATAAGCACTGAAAACGGGGCACAACTCGTCATTTTCGTCCCTCCCTTTCTCGTCCTGGGTACCTACCTAAGGTACCTTACTGTATACCTACCCAAGCTACCTACCTAGGCTGAGGTGCTCTTTCCTTCCATTTGCACTGACCTGTGGTTCCAAGTTCGAACGGCGGCCCGCTCCTAGCCCCAATGATGGGAGGAAGGCGCAAGACGCAAGCTTAGCCACGCTGTTCGCACTCTTTTTCGAACATCCGCACTGCACTGCACTGCCTCCAAAATGGACGATAGTCACCTACCTTACTACGTAAGGTAGGCTTCATCAGTCGATGATTTCCCCCTCCCACAACGACGTCGCCCATCTTCCACGTCAACATACGTCGCATCGCCTTGCCTTACATCTGCATCTCCATCAACAATAGCGGAGCCACCACCGTTCTCGTCCCCAGAATCCCGCTGCCTGTTGCACAGCAATGTAGCGCAATATAAGCCACGAGCTAGCAACTGATAGGGCTATTGGGCAAGACATGGGGGTAAATGCTGACACAGGGGAGGGGTTGGGTTGGCAATGGGGCCGGCCCAGTAGAAGCAGGCAGGCAATAACCGATTTCATGATTGGAGATGGCTGGTGAGACGAGCTGAAGCTGCTACGGAGTACCAAGCCAAGTACTGACCTGCACTCTTCTCCCGTTTCCCAGTCGCGGCTGTGCCGCCATCGCGCGCTAGCCAAACGTGCAGCCTCGTCCTGTCTCGTCGAGATTCTTTTTCGACTTCCTTCGACTCGACACACGTCACGGCTCCCTTCTGCCGCGTTTCTCCTCCTGAGCTGAGCCTGCTTGTCTGCTCCAAACTCGGGTTGCCTCACGCCACCCATGGCTTCCTTCAATTTCATCAAATCTGCCCCCATGACCGACGTAGACCGCTCTTGAGCACTTCGATACCACCCTCAACCGAGAGAGCACCAAACTTCCGAGCACCATTAGCTGTGCAGCTCCGAAATAGCCAACCCGCAAGGCTCGGTAAACAACGGCAAACATAAGTCCATAACGAACCCATTGGACCGAGATAATAGCCATGGAGGGCATGAGCGAAGCACAGTTCAACCAGACTCTTCAGCAGATTAACGACAATATCAACGACGACGACAAAGAATTGTTTGTTGCCATTGTCGCTCTCGTCATCTCTATCGTCGCCTTGCTTGCATCCCTCCTGCAGGTCGCACAACAATATTTCGCTTCCGCCGCTGGCTATTCAAGTTGTGGCAGCAAGGTGATAGGAAAATGGTCCGAATCCAAGCAGCGCAAAATCAAGTTCACCGAGTTCCGATTCGAGGTCCTTTTCGAAGCTCCCGTTATTTTCCTATGCCCTCCGACTAATAAGAAGGGCCCCGTCAAAGACGAACCCATTATATTCATCGACGGCTCGGAAAAGAGCTTGCTGGACAGCCGGTCCGAACTTCAAGATCAGAAGGATGTCTCCGACAAGGAGCTAGCGAAACAGTCAGTCCATACGGCTGACAATGAGCGAGCTTCGTGGGTGGCCCTCCTTTCTGCCCTGCAAAAAATGGAACATGAATCTAGGGAATGGCAAGAAAGACAATATACCGAAAAAGTCTACCAAAAGCCACCCAAGGGATCTGACCAGCTCGAGAGCCAGGAAAACGTCACCAGCGTCCTTAAAGAAGTCAGTGACAAGTATACTCTGACGGTCGCCATTCAGAAGAAGCGTAGGAGCTGGGACACGATGCCGACCAACGTCAAGAAGCCATACGCCACAACGACGTGGTGCCATATGGTCGAAATGCTAGCCATGCTCGGCGTTTATTGGGTCGAATTCAATAGGACCAACGATAGATACCGTGCAGAAGGCAATGGCTACACCATCACGGGGGAGAAGGTTAGCGATCTTGGTATCATGTTCACATTCCAGGTTTATGGACGCAGTCGATTTGAGAACAATCGTGTCATACCCGTGGACGAGACCAAGGAGCTTTGTTTTGGCTTTCTCCCAACTATCTACCGGGCGACGTCGGACAATCGACGTTTGAAGTTCCCCAACGATGAGCCCCGCGACTTGTCGACCCTGAACTTTGCCAGCAACCATGAAATCGCCGAAACGCTGGTTTTGATCGGCTGCAATACCAATACCGTCAACTACTTTTCCACCACATCGACAGCCAGGGTTGGCCATTTGTTTCCCGGTAAGCTGAGGTCGTACAGTTCTTACTGTTGCCCTGCGCTAACATTTTCTTGGCAGTTGCTTTCGAGATCGTAGGCATGCTTGGTCGTACACTCCACATTGAGAAAAGCGCATTCCGTTTACTTCCCAACCCTACTCACTATCGATGGGATACGAAAAACTTCTCCTTAACTAAACTGCTGGAAGCGTACACCATGCAAATGAACAAACTCAAGTCGGATCAGCCAACTCCTAGCCTTGTCGGCAGAGCCATTCGGAGGAACATCCGAAAGATTAATGGGCTGATCAAGACGCACACTGCCGCCTCTGGCAACTGGTTGAGCCTGCCCCTCATGGATGCTCTGCACGAGGCTCTTGACGACACCGATGAGATTTTGACGGCAAGGGCGAAGGTATCTCGGCCAACAGCGCCTCCACGGGTCGACTCGATGATGACCGCAAAGCCTTCGGTTTTTGAGGGCAACCCTGAAGGCGCAGTCGAGAGCGCACGACGTGAGATGGTTCAAGATGTGTTACGCAGTCATATTCAAGAGGTCCTAGGAGGGTTCAACGAGAAGCCGGAAAAGACGGCACCGAAACCTACAGGTAACGCCGTCACAATGGAAAACAGAGTGAGGAGCCAGCTTCGATTTGAGGATATCGACGCGGCACCACCAGAACTCAAGCAAGAAAAACTCATGGAGGTTTACTTCCGCTTGGTGCGGAGAAAGGTCATCGAAGTGTCTCGAGAATCGTCAGATAGGCGCGAGCAGCCTACTGTGGGCTTTGGCGGCCTTAAAAAACGGAACCAAACCAACTTCAGTACCCGGACCGTCGAGACAATAGACGACGATGAACCAATACTGCTGCACGAGTTGGGCGAGGAGCATGTCACCCATGAGGATATCTGGTGCACTCTTGTTTTCCGGATGATTTGTTGGCTCATGCTACACGATTTCCACAAGAAAGATGTCCAGGTATCGAAGAGCGAACTTTTGGGCAGTCGCTTACCGGTATATATCTCATAGTCGAAGGATATGGCGAGGAGGTTGACGATCACTTCAAGCATTTTGGAAAACAAAAATTGCATTAATAGGATATGGATGGATATGGACGAATTATGATGAGCATGAGAGCGAGTAGTTTGATGTCCCCCGAAAGCCCTCATTGGAGCTAGACATGAAACAACTTCGGTCTTCAGGGTAGCTTACGAATGATGACAATGACAATCAAACGGATATCTTAAAAAAAAAATTGAAATTCTCTGTGTGAGAAGACGAGATTCTAGGCCCGTACGCTCTGGCTGAGAAGGACTGGCGGCAGCAACGCTTATACCTGTCAGCGCTTCGTCAACTTGTCATGCGATTGATCCCATGGCCAAGGTCTGGGACAAGAGTCTGGAGGGGCCGATGGGCTAGTGAATTCCTGGAGAGGCAACCCGAGGCTTGAGAACGAGGATGGAGCCCGACTGAGGGATGCGGAGCCCGTCACTGGCTCGTCACCGAGGCTCCGACCGACCTTTTTGCGATTCCAGAGCTCTAGCACGGTACTCCATGATCGCCCAGCGGCCCAGAAGGTTCCCAAGCTGCAAAGTGATTGCAGTCTTCACATTCCAAGGTCCTCTGGGCGTACCGGTACTCATGGGATCGGGGACGCGCGAGAGCGCTAGGCCGGATGAGGGTGAACGGCGGCAAACAGGGGGAAAAGAACCTTGGTTCGGCAAGAGTGGGGAGGCCTACGATTGGGAGCCTGTATCCGCAAAGGAGCATGGTTCACCGAGGCTGTGGGAAGACGATACCTACCTAGCTGGCCATGCTGCCGGATCGTGAAGTGCTTGGAGGACTGTTTGTTGTCCTTTGGCTCAAAATACCAGCCGAGAGATACGTGGGATGAGTGTATGTGATGTGTATGGAGACTTAAGATTGATTCGAATGCTAATAACACAGCACAGCGCCTTGACACTGTAGGGGCTCTTGATGTCACGTAGTGGAACCTGTAGTCCGCCAGAACGACTTCATCGACGTGTTGCGTATTCAATTCCTTCACGTTGGAAAGCAATGTTACATGCGATGCTTCGGCTTCCCTGGGCGCGCGCACGCACGCCGAAGGTGAGGTGCTGCACTCACTCAATGTGAGAAGGACGCGCGGGGAAGGGCATTTGACTTTATCGATGCATGATCAAGACGGAAGCAGACGGATGAGGCCAGTAGTTTGATGCAGGCCGCAGCTCACCATGGTTGTTGGTCTCTTTAGACGCCGGTTAGTGTGATGTCGTCCAATGCCTCGCAGTGCACAAGACGCATCTGTGCGGCGGCTTCCAGGGCTGGGTACGAGCCAACGAGCCTCGCGAACGAGTGTGGTGTTTGCCGGTTATTTCATCCATGGTTGGCAGACATGGCTTAGACAATGGCTCTGTCGGTTCGTAAGTGGCTTGCTGCTGGCGTCTCTCTTCTCTCCGTTCTCGAGGCGTGTGTGTCAGCGGCTTTGCAACGGAATGTCTTGGGCGTTGGTCCCCTGATTAAGAGAAAAAAAATGCGTCTATAGGGTGGTGACTCTGGCGAGGAGTGCTGCGCGCTGGAAGCACTTTTCGGGGTTGGGGGTCCAACAATTGCATTCTCGAAACAGAATCGCGGTGTGGGAGGGCGGTATGAGACGAGACACTGCTTCACGGGCGACGGATAACGCGTTTACACAGTCTGTATTACCAGAGGGTGCGTGAGTACTAATCAGGTAGACGCGACCAGCCTATCCATGGCCCCCTCTTGGCGTGAGATCAGCGGATGATGGGCAGGCGAAGCAGTTTAGAACTTTGGGTACGGAGTACGGAGTACGGTAGGCGAATGTGCAACCTACTGCCCAAGTTGACGCGAGAATTGGACGAGCCCGGCGTGAATGTCACTGGGGAACCTGGTCCCGTGGCCGTGACTGCGAGAATGTGACTGGGGGCCATGGAGAGTGCAGTGCAGGGAAGGGAAGGGGAACAAGGGCCAGCCGCCAGCGGACCGAGGGGTTGGGTTTGACATGGTCCTGAGTTCGGCCGGCAACGGCCATACCTAACAAGGGGAACAATTCACAGTGACGACTGAGGACTGACAGCGGCAGAGGGCCTTGGTCTGGTGTTTGTTGGAATGGAGATTGATCATTGTATGCTCGGAGGTCTCTTGCTGGCTGACCTCGTCTCAAAGGCGGCAAAAGGAGTCGAGAACCAAGACAGTGGAATTCCAGCCATTCTGCCGATGGCGTACAAACAAGGAACCTGAGGTGAGAGACATGTCCGAGAATAGACAGAGACAAAGACGACAGCTGCATATGTATGTAAGCGCAACAACATTGGTAGACAAGCCATGGGCGCAGCAACAGCCAAGATTCAGGACCAACAAGAGCAACGAAGCTGCTTGCGAAGTTACCTATGGATATCAACCTGCCTAGCTTCATGCCTCTAAGGCGACTCGTTCCACAAGCAGAAGCAATATCTGTCTACCTACCTTACTTACCTTACCTGACTGCCTTCCATCACTCCGAACATATCGTCAATTCGTAGATGCATAAAGTAAGGTAAGGTGGATGACAAAACAATCTGTTGCGATGGTGAGTACCTTGTCCGCTTGAAACACCGGGTCGAATACCTCTACAACTAACAGAGAAAGGGGGCCCCGCTGGATGGAATCAGAAGGGGTTGCAGTCACTCACTGGCTCAGAGTCAGGTGACCGAGGCAGCAAGGCTTAAGGTAGCTAGGTACCTACACTTGCCTTAGGAAGTCGCTCAGGTCGACCATGGAGCGAATCTGGAAAGAAAGCACGGGCTCCAGAATCCCACTTTCCCTCACCTTGACCAGACCTGGAGCGCACGTGCTGCTTCCCCACTTTGCCACGGGACAGGTACGAAGTAATACTGCGTACCCTAGGCGTGGACATCTGCTGTGTTAAGACCAAATGGAGGACGGAAGTAATCCAGGGCTGGTAATCTAAACATTCGAGGCCAACATAACCTCGAAGAAACAAGCAAAGCAGAGCAGAGACAGCAAGGCCATGTCAAAGAAAGGACATGCCCCTTTTTCAGTGTTGGCTGGTGGTTTTGGCTGGACAAGGTCAGGCAGGTATGAAACCCTGGGTTGCTCGCTGTGGCCGCTCCCGAACCAACACACCGGCCAAGTGGCCCAGTGACGCTCGTCGTCCTGAGTGAGTGGAGGCCACTAGAGGAGGAGCCTGGCAAGCCTGGAAGCAAGGAACGATTGAAGCAAAGTACCCTTTCCGCCAGCTGTCCACCTCAAGATACCTCTCTCTTACTACATATCTAAGGATAGGTACTTTGATGCGAGCGGCGAGCGGACCACAAACCCGCAACGAAAAAAAGATTCTGTTTTTATTTCTTTTCCTTGCTGCCATTCCGCCATCTCATCTCATCTCGTCGCTTGAGCGTTGTCCGCTTGCCTGATCCACTTTCCATGCCCAAGAGTCGAGACTCGAGATCCGGACGGCACCTACCTAGCCTGCTCGTGCCGGGTAGGTATTAATGAATCAATCGAGTCTGTTCTCGTTCAGTCGAGATGCCCAACATTGGACCCTTGTTCTATGCTCTCATTGCCTCGATAATCTGTCGCCCACCCAGCGTTACGCTCAAGTCTCAAAGGAGAGGAGGGGGTGCTTTGATATCATCTACCTCGAATTATGACAAAGACGCAAACAAGCCTGGACCCAAGCCTGACCTGATCCAAGCAAGAAAGTAAGAGAGGCGAAGACGCTTTCTACTCTCTTGTTCTCCCTCGCCGCTTTCACTATCTCGATGCTGGAAGCCAACTTTGTTCCCCGCAGTTTGGAAACCTTCCATTCTCTACCAAAATCCTTCCAGGTTACGTCTTTGGTACCTACTCGACATTCTTCCATGCCCGGCATTTTGCTGGGCTAACAATTGAGAAAACCCTTCTTCATTCCTGCATGTCACCATTTACCGCTCCCGAGGTAACTTGGCGGTGGGAGAACCTTTCCTCGATATATTACCCACAGATCTAAGTACCTAGCTTCCCTGACGTCCGGCCGCCGACAGTCGTCTCACAGTGTTATTGACCGACGCCTGCTTTTTCGGATTGCCTTGTATCGCCCGCGTCTTTCCTTCCACTGCGGCATTGCTTCTGCGCTTCCATTCTGGTCCGTTGCGGTGTGAGCAGCGGCCTTCTGTTGTGCCGTGCAACTACTAATTGGGTACCTTATTGCTTTACTCAAGGCCTCCCAAGGTTAGGTAAGGTACCTACTTCGAGCAGATACGGAGAGCGGTACCTTGGATTCAGTGCTTTGTAGGCGAACTTACAAGTACCTTCCCGCCAGGTACTCTTTCCTCAGGGGTGCCCATCCACCTGGGGGCAGGCAGTGAAAACCTGGAACGAACCTCCCCGTGCTGTTTCTCCTCCGCGGTACTGAGGTACCTACCTTCCATTACCTTCATTGCCCCCCAAAACCGAGAAGGACCGCACCGCATCACCAACGCGAGTCGCTCTTTCCGCCGTGGCCCGCGACACCCTATCCGTACGTACCTAAAGTTCCTAAGGCTCCTGCCCGCCCTCACACCCTCGCGGTTCACCCTCCCCTCCCGCCTTGGTTGTCCACGGTGCTGCCACCAAAAAACTCCACCTCCACATCCACAGTACCCGCACCCGTAAGCCGTGCCTGCAACCTGCGACCTGCGACCGTAATCCCGCCCGCCACCTTCGAAATCCCCAACCCTCGCTCACACCCGATTCCGATCCCAAACCTTACATTTCCTCTCCTCTTCGACACCTCCCCTCTCTTTTCCGACACTCTCACGACAATTACCCTCCGCCTCACATCGCACCTTGCAGCAGTCGAGACTTCGAACTAGACCGCATACCACGCGAGAGGCAATATGACGCCCTCGCCCGGTCCTCAGATCAATACCACGGAGGTGAGGCGGCCTCGCTCCAGCCAGACCGTCTCCTTCTCTGTCGACGAAGGCAATAACTCTATTCACGGATCCGACTCGACAAGCCTCCAGTTGGCCGTCTCTGAGTGCATAGAAACCACAACCACAACTACTACCACCACCACCAAGCGGACCTTTCCACCCGTCTACCTGCGCGAAGTTCGTCCTCTCCATGAACTCGACTCCAAGGAGTATCCTCTCGCCTCGAAGCCTCTACCCCCCGAACTCGCGAACTTCTCTTTCAGTGTCTCTGGCTCCTCGTCCGATGGCACCGTCGACAACCCTTTCACTGCCAAAACAGTAAGCACCCTCACGACTTCCCACTTCGTCTATTTTTTTTTTTTTTTTTCTTTGCCTTCCTTCTTTCTCATTCTCCTTTCCTCGCCATCCATCTCATTTGCTGACCTTGTCTACCTCAG